TTGCTTCCTATATTGAAATCCACTTGTAGAAGTACATTTAGGATAGTTTAATCATACAAGTAATACATTTTAGAGGAATATTATAAAACATGAACCCACAATAAAAATACAGATTTTCATGACTTTAGAAACACCACTGTAAACATGTTGGTGTATATCCTCCGGGTCTTCTAAAATGTTCTGTAGCTGTATCACTGTCCTCCCGTTGTTCATTGATTTGCTCGAGCGGGGCCCAGTAAGGTCTCCATTGTGAGACTTGTTGTTACTGTATTTGTCATATCGAACATATCATGGGTAGCTTGCCATGCTTTGTCACATGGGCGAGATACCCTTGGTAGCTTGCCGGGCTCTCCGAGAGGGGCAGAGGAATCGAACCCAGCTGGGCTGGGCTGGCCATGTGCAAGGCAAACGCCCTACCTCTGTGCTATTGCTCCCAAAATGTGATTCAACAAATGCATCTTTTCCACTCTTTTAATCTTACCTGTTCTATTTATCTAACACTTTGCCCTTAAGAAATCCAACCCCGGGGCCGGAGCAATAGCATAGCGGGTAGGGTGCTCGCCTTGCACGCAGCCGACCTGGGTTAGATCTCCAGCATCCCATATGGTCTCCCAAGCACCGTCAGAGTAATTCCTGAGTGCAGAGCCAGGAATAACCCTTGAGCATCACTGGGTATGACCCAAAAAGCAAAAAAAAAAAAAAATACCATAGAATTTCCAACCCCATAGAAAGAATTTCTTACCTAGATGCCTGGATAATACACAGATGTCAGCTGGCTTCAAGAAGAGCAATCACGGTCACTGAGCCATTTGAGTTCAGCATTGGATCTTCATCCCTTATACTCCAGGCTGGAGGTTTCTTACACAAGTCGCTCTGCCCCTGGCACTCTGTCCCTCCTCCAGGGAGGAGACAGAGAGCCAGGGCCAGCCCCAAGCCTCTCCACATTGGTGGGCTTGTCCTGTAAGAAAGTAAGTCTTTCTGTCACCTTCACAGATGACTCCCCGGTGAAAAGCAGGGCTTTCTATAACCCTCACAGCTATCATCCTATTTCCCATAAATACCTAACCTATTCAGTCTGTCTCCAGGTGACCTGGCTTATTAAGTTGGACCTCCCTGCCAGAGACCTGTCTATAAGAACAGTCAGAGGCCGGAGGGTTCAATCCTCGGCATCGCATATGGTCCCCCCAGAGAACCGCCAGGAGTGATTCCTGAGTGCATAGCCAAGGAGTAACCCCAGCGAATCACCAGTTGTGGCTCAAAAATAGAACAAAAAAAACTCCAACTATCCTAAAATGGTTTAGTCTATTATCTAATTAAAAAAAAAAAGAAGAGGATATATGTAGATTATCTCCAGAGAATTATTAAGACAGTATTAGTATTGATGATCCAATTATCCTTTTGTGATGGAGGGAGGCTTGCTTGTTTGAGGGACAATGCTCAGGGGTTACTTGTGGCTCTGTACTCAGGAATTACTCCTGGTGGTACTCGGGGGAACATATAGGATGCCAAGGATGGAATCCAAGTTGGCAGCATGCAAGGTAAGTACCCAACCCACTGTACTATAACTCTGACCCCACAATTATTCTTCTTATACCTACCAACAAGCAGTGCCAAGCTTGCTTTTATAACTTGTCAGTTATACTTTCTAATTCTGCTCATTATCCTTTCAGCAGCTAAGGAAACTATGACTAAAGGAGAATTTGGGCATTTTGCCCAAGTTTATACATATAGTCACAAGATTGGTTTCAAGTCAATTCTACGAATCAATCCAAACATAACCTCTGTCACTGTCACTGTCCTCCCACTGTTCATTGAGTTGCTCGAGAGGGCCCAGTAACGTCTCCATTGTGAGACTTCTTGTTACTGTGTTTGGCATACCGAATATGTCACGGGGAGCCAGGCTTTGCCAGGTGGGCAAGATACTCTCGGTAGCTTGCCAGGCTTTCCGAGAGGGGAGGAGGAATCGAATCCAGCTAGGCTGGGCCAGCCGCACACAAAGCACACTGAAATATGTTGTCAGTTTTTAGTATAGGTATAATTATAGCAACTGTTCTGTTTGTGTCCCTGGATGAAAAAGAAAAAAAAAACAACCAAAATAATTTAAGCTGTTTTGGGGTTGGAAAGATAGTATAGTGGGAAAGGCACTTGCCCAGCACATGGCCAACCTAGGTTCAATCCTAGCACCACATATGGTCACCCAAAGTCACCAGGAGTAATCCCTGAGCACCACCGGATGTGGCCCCCCAAACAACAAAGTAATAATTTAAGATGTTTGCCTCATGCAAAAAATGATTAGGTTTCCCCTACTCTCTCAAATATAAACTCAGTAGATTTGGGATGTTATTGGAATAAATGCTTCCACTTGCAGATGTTCCTTTGCCACAATTAACAGATTGTTCAACTCTGTTTCCTTAGATCATTTTTTTGTATAATAAACTTTCATAATTATAGAGACAGCTAGAAAAAAATGATGCCTACAAAAAATGTTAAATAACAAGATTGGGATTTCTGAAATCTCGTCAATACAAATTAGGAAATAGCTTCAAATTCCACTAATCTCACCACTTTCCAATTACAGACCTAGAAGTTTGCCACAAACTAAAGCAATACTTAACATGTTTAAAATTTTCCACTGAAAGGAAGAAACTTTTCCCCCTTTCTTCCCCCCAAAATATGAGGATCTAACCTCATTCGGTCAAAAGATACGACCCACTCACTACTTAAGCCCCCCAATTTTTCATTTATGCACAAACCACCCCCATTTTGACACGGGTTTAATTCTTGAAAGTGAATAATTCTGCTTAGTGGTGGAACCTGCTCTCCTCTCTTCAGATCCAGGAGCTGTTTTCCCCTGAGAGTTCTCACTCTATTTCAGTAAAAAAATATTTCAGCACTAACCTACACGATTGCCTCTATAATACCTCAGCATTATTGCAGAATAAACTAACTTTATCCTGGGCCTTCCAGAAGGCGAGGTGGAATCTCTGCATTGTCCATGTGCAAAGGCAAAACTGTATCCACCACATCCCATTTGAGACCCTTTGATTCTCTCTGTCTCTGTTCTGTCTCTGTCTCTGTCTCTGTCTCTCCCTCCTTCTTTCTCTCTCTCTCTCTAATTTACCCCCTCCACCTATTTCTTAAAAACAAAAATACCTATGCTTAAAAAAAAGTATGTTTATCAGACAAAATCTGAAGATTTTCCAAACTCTGAAAGAGAAAGCAGCCAAATTCCTACTTACAGCCCCTTCAGCAGCGCCTGCTTCCTCCCTTCTCTCGGCTCCACAGCGCCACAAAGGCACAGACAACGCTGATATTTATAGTCCTGTTGTTTACCTCACCCCTCAGCTATTGACCAAAGTTCAGTGCCCCCTCCGCTGCGACCTTGCAAGCAGAACAAATTCCTAAGCGGGTAGTCATAAACAAAAGTGTTAGAAAGTAGCAAAACCTGCCATGCGGAAAGGTTTGGGGCAAATATTGATTGATTTGCCATCGTTTTTGGTCACCCCAGTATCTAGGATTTAATGGTACAGTCGAGGGCGGGGAGGAAGGGCTAAAAGGGGTAATGAAGGCCGCCAAGTCACTTTTTTCTCCAAATTATAATCGACAAAAACTTTTGCTGACTCACCTAGTTATGCTGCTGAATGGAAGAAAAATAGGGGAAAAAGAAACTTTTTTTTTGTTCCTTTTGCTTTGTGGTGTCCAGCAACTTTTGTGAAACAAATCACCAGTTGTTCCCCATCTTTCTGTACTATATCTCCAGCTGCTATTCTTGCTACCACTTCTGCCCATCTGCTTGGGGGTTTGTTTGGTTTTGCTTTGGGGACCACACGCAGGTGCTCAGGGCTTACTCCTGGCCCCACGCTCAGGAATCCCACCTGGTGAGGCTCCTGACCATATCGGATTTATTGGGGTTGAACCTGGGCAGGCCTGTGCAAGGCAAGCCCGCCTTGGCTGCCGTACTATTGCTCCATCCCCCTGCTCCAGTCTTTGCTATGTTCAAAGTTGAGTCTCTGTGGGATGTCATCAGACTTAGCTCTTTTTTCATTTAAGGAAAAGAAGCCAGACCTTTTTATATTACCAGAGAGGTCTCACTCCCTGAAAGATCTATGTATACCACAGAATGCATCAAGAATCTCTCCAGATGTAAGTAAAATATTTACCAATTTAAGTACCATACAAATAAAAGGTTTTTTTGTGACCATTTGTCACAAAGCTCTCCCTCTTCAGGTTAGCTAAGTACTTGGACCACAGAGCAAAGTACAAAGGATAAAGCAAAAAAAAAATTCTTTTTCTATTTGATAGTTGTCGTTGGAAAGGGAGTATGGGGATTTTTAAATGTACAAGTAGAAGAGAAAATTTCTTCGCAAAAGAAAGAGGGGAGTTTTCCCCCTCATGACTACCAACAAGCTCAGGCCTAGTGGGGAAGGGTAAGGAGCAGTGTCAAAAACTGATTCCTACCATATTTTGAGGGTAGCAGCCGCTGCCTAACCCCCAAAAGCAGTGGCTCAAAGCCTACAGTGAGCCCCAAAGCAAATGTGTCTGGGGTGTGTGAAGAGAGTCCCTCTGTAGGGCCTCTTCTGTGCTGGGTAGCCTAGATGCAGTCAGCAGTTTGTTGTCACTGTTTGTTAAGGCGCAGACTTCTTATGGAGGAGGTGGGGTGAGGAGTAGGGGCTCAGAGAGCCCAGGACCCAGGAATACAGTGCCCACCATTTGCCCAGAGGCCCTTGGTTAGGAATCTGATTCCGCAGTCATCTGGAATGAGTTGCTTTTCAGCCACCGTATCTTTAAATTCATCCACATTTAACTTGGTAAAGCCCAGGGGATGTGGATTTTCTGGCATCTTGGTAACTTGAACTTGACCCTGCCTGGAGGCTCAATCACATGCTCCTCAGTCTTAATTTGATGCAGATGTGTCATAAAGCTTTTCAAAGGCATCTGCACACTTTTTTTGAGCCTATGAATGGGGACACCTGAGGGCAGACAGGGATACCCACCCAAAGGACTATCTCAAGGTGCCTTAGAACTGCCCATACAAGCAACAGGCTGTGGATGCAACCAGGGTGGCTGTTAACTCTCTGCAGCCATCGCACACACTGACTCTGTGCTCAGGAACCACTCAACAGTGCTTAAGGGACCACATGTGGTGCCAGGGATTGAAGTGGGGTGGACTCAAGCAAGGCACATGCCTTAACTCCTGTCCTATCTCTCCAGCCCAAGAAAGAATTTTCAAACAAACATTCAATGGCATTAAATCGAATTACACCAAATCAAGCAAACATTTATTCAGTGCTCATGAGCGGCACAATGCTAAATTCTCAAGGATCTCTTAATCTTGACAGACAAACAAACATTGTGTGAAGTGTAATGTGATGGTTTACTTGAAAACCAACAAGAGGATGGCTGTAAGCACATATTTCTGCGGTTTGTTGGACATTTGGAAATGACAAAAGGGTCATTTTAACCCAGTCTCAAAACAGCACCAGCAAGATATGCTAACATAATCTCTAGCAAGTTCAAAGTTCACTAGTACTTTATCTTAAGGCTTTTTTTTTCCCTCTTTACTTTCAGAGTTCCCAGAATATCTGTCTGAAGCACTATCTAGCATGTTATTTTGTCTCAACTTTTATGAGTGATTAAAATCTGCTGATCAGTTGCTCCAGCTATGATCACACAATGGAGCAATGATCACTGACAGTAATTAAACGACTGAATCTTGTCAGGTCAAACTCTGTCTTAATGATCTCATCTCTCACAACTTCCAACCTGGAACCAAGAATCTATCCTCATACTGTCTTATGCTTCCACACCCTTATCATTTGTTCCAGGAGTGTACATACATTTATTCTTCATTTTTAACAAGCATTCTTACCTTTATATGAGGAGTAGTATTTTCCATGGAGAATAGGGTCCTACAAATTTGTGAACCAATTACATACTTAATAAGAGAAAAGGGCTATGAACTACTAGTTTGTAAATCTATTTAACAACTACTTACAAATGTTAATGAATAAATGTAGTATTTGATAATGAATAAATAAGTTGTTGTTAAATAGATAATTAATGTAGCATTTATTCATTAACATTTGTAAGACATTAATATCTCAAACTATAAGAAGGTGAAAGAGGGCTGGAGAAATAGTACAGTGAGTATGTCAACCCAGATTCGATCCCGGGCATCCCATATGGTTCTCAGAGAACCACCAGTAGTGATTCCTGAGTGCAGAGCCAGGATAACCTTGAGTATTGCCAGATGTGTCCCCTCCCCCAACAAAAAGAAGGTGAAAGAGTATTACGACTATATGAAGGACATATATAAAATAGTAATTCTTTTAGCTTGAGTATTAGGTAGTTTTTTATATGCAAAAGGAAATAAAACTTTCCCAATAGTGGAGAAAATGATGCCTTTTCACCTAAATCAATCTTCCTTTGTCTTGCATGTACAAAAAGTTGCCTTATACCTCATCTTGTGCATTATATTCAACGCAATGCTGTTTGATTATTCATGATGAAAGATAAACCACCCAGTATGGAACGAGTATCTTCCAAAAAAAGCATGATGTTCTCAAAGTACAAGAGATAAATATGAACAATGTTCAGAGGAAGGAATGGGAACAGCATGTGGATTAGATAAGAATTTACTTGATCCTTTGAGATTCATCTGAAATTGAAACATGCTTTGAAGAAAGCATTTCTTCAGATGCACAAGTTTACAGACCTGAAATTGTTTAACATATCAAACATAAATCCAATTATGGATAACTACATGCTATGCCAGTTTTATTGGGAATCAGAGCACATACAAAAGAGTAGCAAACATCAGAAGTTTTTATGAAATAGGATACTATTCATTTAATTAAAAAGAAATAGTTTCATCTTGTCCACGTCAGACCAGAAGCTCATCTTGAAATGCACAGGGCATCATTTTGCAAGAAAAATGGAAGGCCTCAAACACCATTCATCCCCTGAACTAAACAGAAATGTCATTTCTTTTGACTCTGGACCTGTGGATATCCCCATGGAAAGGAAAGACATTTAGTAGAACTCTGTTCTTTCTGGAGTGTTGCTCCACAGATGCCCTTAGGAACCCGACTTTATTACACCCTGCCACAGTTTTCTCAATTGTACAATAGTATCTGTATTTGTTTGTTAGTTTGTTACAATAGAACTGTAGGCTTACAGACTGGGAAGAAGAGAGCTCATCCCTTCTCGCTTGAAGGGGGTCAAAACAAGCGAATGAAAAAAAGACTAGAAAGAGACTATAAGAATAACGCTGTCTCTCCTTTGACTTTTGGTTATTTTTGTGGCAATTTCACCCCAACAGTCTGCAATATGATGACTGTGCCAGTCATAATTCTAATGGTAATTAGGATCCTAAATCATTTATAGCTCATTTAATTCTCACAGTCCTTACTCTTGTTGCTGAGATGAAAACCTGTAACAAAGATGCTAAAAAGTGTGTTTCAAATTTGGATCTTAAAAGTAGAGGAACATGGACTCAAACTCAGCAGTTCTAGAGTTCAAAAGTTTAACTTCTACAGTAAACATGCTTTACTTGCACTAGAGAAATAATACAGGAAGTAAGACAATTGACTTTCCTGCTTCCAGCCAACCCTGTTCAAAATTCCTGGTATTGCATTTAGCCAACCCTGTTCCAAATTCCTGGTACTGCATCTGGTCCTCCCAAGCTCTGCCTGGGGTCACTCCTAAACACAGAACCAGAAATAGCCCCTAAAATCAGCATGGTGTGGCCTAAAAACAAAAGCAAATATAACTTACTTTCCCTCATAAATCTGTGTGCATTTATAAAAAGTATCTGCATGTACTTCTTGTGTGGGGAGGGAGGTTTGGGTCACACCAAGCAGTGTTCAATAGCAGAGGCTATTCCTGATTCTGTGCTAAGGAGTGACTGCCGGAGGTGTTGGGGGACCATATGTGTGTGCCTGCAACTTGAACCAAGATTGGCTGCATGTGAGACAAACCCCTTAGTCCCTGTACTGTCTCTCTGGCCCACACATTTTTTTTTAATTTTTTTTATTTTTTTTTAATTTTTTTTTACAGTTGTAAATTTACAATTTTTTGTGCTTTGGTTTCAATTATACAATGATCAGATACCCATCCCTCCACCAGTGCCCATTTTCCACCACCATGGATAGTATCCCTCCCACCCCCATCCCCCCACCCCCCCTGTCTCTGTGGCAGGGCAATCCCCTGTGTTCTCTCTCTCCTTTTGGGTGTTGTGGTCTGCAAAAGAGGCATTGAGTGGCAAACATGTTCAGTCCATAGTCTACTTTCGACATGCATCTCCCCTCCTGGGAGGATCCTCCAAACATCCTTTATTTGGTGCTCCCTTCTCTATCTGAACTGCCCTTTCCTCTAGGATACCCGGCTGGCCTCTAAGTTATGGAGTAATCCTCCTGGTGCTGATTTCAGCTCTTCTTGGGTATTAATCTCATACTTTGTTACCTTATATCCCCCAGATGAATGCAATCTTTCTATGTCTATCCCTCTCTTTCTGACTCATTTCGCTTAGCATGATACTTTCCATATTGTACCACTTGTATGTAAATTTCATGACTTCATCTTTTCTAACAGCTACATAGTACTCCATTGTGTAGATGTACCAAAGTTTCTTTAACCAGTCATCTGTTCGTGGGCATTCAGGTTTCTTCCAGTTTCTGGCTATTGTAAAGAGTGCTGCAATGAACAAACAAGTGCAGATGTCACTTCGACTATACATTTTTGCCTCTCTGGGATATATTCCCAGGAGTGGTATTGCTGGGTCAAATGGGAGCTCAATTTCTAATTTTTTGAGAATCGTCCATACTGTTTTCCAGAAGGGCTGAACCAGTGGACATTCCCACCAACAGTGAAGGAGTGTCCCTTTCTCGCCACATCCAAGCCAGCATTGGTTGCTTTTGTTCTTTTGAATGTGGGACTGGCCCACACATTTTAAAAAACATTGTAGGTTCCTGCTGAGACCTAGTACATTCAGATAAATGTGTAATGCCTTAGGTCAAATTCTACTCTCTTGGTTGCTAGAGAATTGTATTAGACTATTTTCCAAAATACCCCAACTGCTAAGAGTTCTTTGGGATTTGGGGGCAGGGGGAGTGCTGAGTTATTTTGTTGTTGTCTTCGGTTTGGGGGCCACACCCAGCTGTGCTCAGGGTTTACTCCTGACTCGGCACTCAGAAACAGTGAGACATCATGAGGTACAGTTGCAGACTTACAAATTTTTGTGCTTGGGTTTCAATTATACATTGATCAAATACCCATCCACCAGTGCCCATTTCCCACGACCACAAATCCCAGTATCCCTCCCATCCCCCATCCCCCCACCCCACCCTGCCTCTGTGGCAGGGCATTCCCTTTTGTTCTCTCTCTCTCTTATTGGGTGTTGTGCTTTGCAAAAGAGGCAATGGGTGACAATCATGTTTAGTCTATAGTCTACTTTATCTGGTGTTCACCTCTTTATCTGAGCTCCCTTTTCCCCTAGTATATGTGGTTGGCCTCCAAGCCATGGGGCAAAATTCCTGGTACTAATCTCAGCCATTCTTGGATGTTAAACTCCCTTTTCAAGACACCTTGCAGGAAACACTTCTGAAACCTCTCCCCTAAAGAAACTTCTAGGTGCTGCTTAAAAAATGAGTAAGTGGACTAGAAGTGACACAGAGCAGGGGTGGAGGGCCTGGGCACTGCGGTGGTGGTGAGGTGAGGTAACTGTGCATACCCAGACCATAACTGTCAGCACCATTGTCAATATATGACTATAATTTTTACATTTTTTTTGCTTTTGGGGTCACACCCGGCGATGCACAGGGGTTACCCCTGGCTCATGCACTCAGAAATTACTCCTTGCGGTGCTCGGGGGACCATATGGGATGCTGGGAATCAAACCCGGATAGGCCGCATGCAAGGCAAATGCCCTACCTGCTGTGCTATTGCTCCAACCCCGACTATAATTTTTAAACAAGTATTAATGATAAGTGTGGAAAACTCACCTCACTAGAGGTTATTTGCTTATTAGCCTCCTATGTAGTAAACAATGTCCCCTTCAACTGACATGAAATATTAGGGTAGAATTTCAGCACTACCCTGAAAAGAATATATCCCATAAAACTAGTGTGTTTTGAGAAGCAC